GCATACTAAAATGCAGGGGAGAAAATAGATTTTTCGGTTTCACTAGGACTCGCAGAAGTAAAACCCAGAGAGCTGGGAGAAGAGATTGAGAGGAAAAAGGAGCAATAACGGGCCAGTGTGCAGCCATTCTATAAACAGAGCAAAAGAAATGAGGTTGGTGACTCCTGATTTTCATTGCTAGAAGCAGGAATTCCTTGAGAATCTTCCTCAAACATAGTAATATGCAGGTAAAGTTGGAGATAAAATTTGCAGCAAGGGCTAGATCCAATAGAAATCACAATCAAAGAAGCACGGAACTCCAAAACTCGATGGATTGTTTTAGACAGGTATTATGCCATTGAAACGTGACCTTCCATTTCTTTTTCATATGCAATGGGATTCCTGTAAATGATCCTGTTTTTCTTAGTGCAGTCATTTGAAAAAACACAAATTGTTCGTATATGGACATGTGGACTGCAACGTTGCTTTGATGAAATGAAAAGACGTCGCCACCTTGACACCGTCTAGAGCTTCAAGGCCTGAAAGTCCTGTGGGAAATCGACCTGAAAATCGTCAAAGTGAAGAGCCAGATGCTCCACAGGAAGGGAATTCATCGTTACTATCGCCACCTCCACAAAGCCCTCGTCGGTATCCATTGCAATGGAGAAACGGTTTTCCTCGAGAGTTTTCTCTTGCTGAATTTGAAGAGATTACGAATGGTTTTGCTGATGAGAATTTTGTAGGAGAACAAGAAAACTTCAAAGTTTGTGAAGGGATATTCATGGAAACACCTGTTTTAGTCAAATCTTTCTTGGAAAATGATGAAAGATTCTGGTCATTGCTTAAGATCCTTCTGCGAGTACGCCATAGGAATATCATGAACCTTGTTGGGTACTGCTTCACAGGCACAAGCAGATTCTTAATATTTGATTATCCATATCTAGGCACTCTTGAATTAATCTTACAAAGTAAGATTACACAGGCCATGTATTGTGTTCTTTAAGGAGTTCATTATTCTTTGGACTATATTGTTACGGAATTATGAACACAATCTCCACATCTGCAGATGATAACATGGCCAGCAACTTGCCGTGGAAAGCAAGGTGGTATACTGCTCTGGAAGTAGGTGGAAGCTTGAGGTGTCTTCATGAGGAGTGCCCTGATGGCCCAATTGCTCATCTCTCTGTCAGTTCCTCCAATATTGTTTTCTCCCATGGCTGCTCTGCCATGGTAAGTAATAGATCTGTCTCTTCAAGAACAGTCTAGATACTGAGCTTGAACTACTTAATAAAATTGCCAGGCTTAACTGGAATATGTATATAACTTCATTGGTATTTGCCTCTCACTGAAGAAAATTTCTTAGAAGTACCATTATTCTGTTAGTCTTGGGCCAAATTTCCCTCTATGTTGTCATTACATTCTCATGCTGACTGGCTTCTGTCTTTCTATATCATTCAAGCTATCCCATTTTCAGACGGCTATGCGGCTCAATGATGAGACTTCCTGTAATGGACATTCAACAATAGGGTAAGAAATTCTTTTAAATACTAAGGTCGGATTAATGAAAATCACCAATTTTTTTGTTCTTCGAAGTCAGAATTTTCAATCTAAAATGACATTATATAATGCATCCTTGTCACTTAACTCTGCTCGATGCCTTGTTGGTTGAAGATATCCAGATACAGAGGAGGATGAGTCCCTTTCTGTTGATGTACATGATTATGGAATGTTCCTTGTGGAACTTATAAACGGAAAAGGCTCTTGCTGTTTTCCATATGAAAGAAATTGTCAAACCCTGATACAGTGGGTAAGAACATAAGAGAACTTCATGCATTGATATTTTCATGTTTTAATGAGTTTCAAAAGATCCTGCTGCAACTGTATTATCTGTTGATTGAAGAAAGCACATCATATCTTGTTAGGACGAATTCTGTCATTGTTTTCAAATCTGATGAAAGTTGCATGAAGCAGCTTTGGTGGAAGTAACAATATATCAGTGCCATCAGGCTGTACAAATTCAGTTTAGTTAAACTGAAACCAATCTAACCTTTTGTGTCCTTTTTAGTTATATTTCAAGTTGGAGCCATGTGATAATAGGTACTTTTTTATGTCAAAATATTAATGTAAAAGGGTTACTTAACTTAAGTTTAGATTAAAGAACTTTAGAATTTCAAATTTTAATTTCTCTATGTACCAATATCAGTACCCATGTGTTGTAATAGGTACTCTTCTACGGCACTGACATATTTATGTATAAATATCAGTACCCATGTGATCTAACGGGTCCTTTAAATTCTCTACTGAGCCTTTTGTGTCCTTTTTAGTTATATTTCAAGTTGGAGTCACCTGATTTACTGACTGCTTTTTATGACAAAATGGTATTGTAAAAAAACTACTTAATTTAATTTTAGATTATAGAATTTTTGAATTTTAAAAGGTTAAATATTAATTTTGATTTCTTAATTTTAAAATTTTATATAATTTTCATTCCTTAATTTTTTTATGCCTTAATTTGCTCTTTTAACTATAAAAAATATTTTTTTTTTAGTTTTCTATCTATTAATCAATTCAATTTATCCAAATTTTTATATTTTTAATCTTTCAACTTTTAATATATGTATATTTTTTATCTTAAAAATATATAAATTTAGATAAATTTAATGGATTAATTGACAAAAAAATTTTTAAAATACGTTTTTTATAGTTAAGAAATTAAAAAAAATGCAAAAAAAAAATTAAGAAATGAAAATTATACAAAATTTTAAGTTGAGAAACCAAAATTGACATTTAACCATATTAAAATTTAAATTCTCTATGTACAAATTGCAGTAAAATGAAATGAAAATCTGAATTTCAACTCTTTCATCCTCTCTCTCTCTCCATTTCTTTGAGAAAAAAACCGAACAAAATCAATATTGACAACTTAATTTTCTTGATTTTCTTTTGTATTTATGATCTTATTGACATTTTTTTTCTGTTTGAAACATAGGCACTGCCACTTCTGAAAAATGGTTCACTCACTGAAGTAATGTATCCGAGACTGTCAGATCCTAGCGATACTCAAGCAGTTCATCATATGGCTCAAGCTGCTTTGCTCTGTCTAAATGATGATTCAAGTCACAGATTTACCATGAGTGAGGTAAGATTTCTCCATCTATATGTCCGGAACCCTTTCCTGCAAATTTTAAGGTTAATATATAGATGATCTATTAGCATCTAGCACATTTTTCACCCTATTTTTTCTTGCAATTTCGTGATCACAATTCCCACCACTAGAGTCTAATGCATGGAGAGATCTTTGCAGGTCTTAGCAGTGGTTCGAGGCGATCAGCTTCCAATGTCCAGTTATTGAGTTCTTACAGTGTCTCTGAATCCTTACTGTTAATTTTAAAAAAATAAAAAGATGTTTATTCATCCTTCAAAATAAAAATAGTGTCTAAACTAGGGGGAACATTATTTGATATTCATTAGCGTGTATTTTGTAACAGAAAAATGTGATCAGTTTGGATCACCAAATTTCCAGCAAAAGTGTCATTCCTCTGCAGAATTTAGAGTCTAGACCCATTACCTTGACAAGCTGAAGAAGGATAATGCTCCATGACAGAAGTCCCATCCCCATCTTTTATTTTGTTTTCTTCCTCTCTTTGTTATCTTCTGCAAAGGGTTAACACTGTCTGACACCATCAGCACGCAAAACAAGAGTTTGTGAATTTTTTTAATATATATGATAATAAATTATATAATAAAAATAATATTTTTCATAAATTTTTCTATCTTTATCTTAATATTTAAATTCAAAATTTAATCTAAACTTTTTACCATTGGGACTTTCACTGGAGAGCAAATATTATGAAATGCTACATAAAGTTCATTGACCAGGTGTATTGTTTCTGAGAAGAAAATCTAAACTTGTTTTAATCTTACTTATTATCTAATTATAGGGAAAACATTCTGCCTAATGCTCGAACTCATAACCTTTAATAAGAAGGTTTAAACTCTTTTTCAATATTTTAACATGGCAATAACCTTACCTAACCATGGTTCTCCATCTCCATCAGTGATTTATAAAGTGCGAAAACTAAAGCCAAAAAGGGTTTCCTTACTCCTTTATTTATTTATTTATTTTTTCCTTTCAATGAAATTATTGGCCATTGTATATACTATATAATATAATGTGAAAGGAAACAAAACACATTATTGTAATCTGTCTCCCACCATTGATATGCATTTAATTGAAACAAGATAATATCATGTAATATTTGGTAGTGGATTTTGTTGGGATTCAATTGCTGAATGACTTACTGTAATGACCACTTTCCTGCCTCCGAAAGCTAAGCGAAAATCATGAATCATGTGGTTTGGATATTTTTTTTTTGCTAGAAAACAAGATAATGATGCCGAAAGTATTATTGGATTGGGAAATGCCTTTTTATACAATTTTTTTTTATTTTTTTGTATAATTTAATGTGTCATTAAAATAATTAATTTTTTTAATTCATATGAAACTTATAATATTGAATGCATTTACCCATTTAATAACATGTGAAAATTGTGTAAAAGGATGAGATAAAAATGTTGTTCTTATAACATCACAATGTTCGTTTCTCACTTCACCATTTTATTTTTTGTAAAAAACAAATTTTTTCTCATGATTAATTTAGTTGTTAAGAACAATATTCAATGATTAATAGTTGTTATTATTTATAATTTAAATGTTTTTATCTACTTAGATAATAACTTTAACAATTAAACTAAATAGAGTTTTAATAATCATAAAGAGAAACCATTAATCATGCAATCTAATGTTACTTATAATTTAATCCGTAATCTTTACATACCCAAACAACGGTGAAGTGGGACACTGAATAATCCAATCCCTTGTAGTAACACCTTTGCATTATTATGTCTTTAATGATCATTTCCTCCATTATTTTGCTTTTAGAATGCCAATCCAGAGCATTTATCATCTCCCACGTGAATCATGGCCCTCAAAATGTTGGTGCACATATTTTCATTCTTTCTTCTCTCTATATATACGTCAGCTGGCATAATGCCTCTCCAAGCACAAATTGAGTAAGAGTATTAGTTTCATCTGCAATTCAAAATGAAATCTTTCCTTCCTTTCCTCACACTCTTCTCTTTTCTCTTGGTAATTAGCTAACATCCAATAATGGGTGTATGTATAGTCCATTTGCAGTTCCTAAGTTTAAAACATGGAGTTCCTACATTATATATCTCCTTTCTATAATAAACAGCAATCAGGATAAACAGCTTGTTTATTTTCTAACGCTTTTTCCTTCTCTTTTTATGCAGTTTGTTAATACTGCTGTAGCGGCAAGAAAAGACCCCGGCGAGTACTGGAGAGCTGTGGCGAAAGATCAACCCCTGGCAGAAGCGATAGAAGCTCTTGTTGAAGTTGACACTGCCAAAAAACCTGATTGTCACACACCTGCAACAATTGAGATCCAGGAAGAAAAGATCCTCGTTAAGGATTTCGAAACCAAAGACATCAAATCAGCAGAAGAGAAATCCTTTGTTAAGGATTTCGAGCCAAGGCCTAATGTCTCATCTTACCATGACAACAGTGATACCAAACCAGGAGACGAGAAATCCTTTGTTAAGGATTTTGAGCCAAGGCCAAACGTCTCATCTTACCATGAAAACGGTGAAACCAAACCAGCAGATGAGAAATCCTTTGTTAATGATTTCGAGCCAAGGCCTAACGTCTCATCTTACCATGACTAGAGAGAACAGCCTCCATTCCATATGATTACTGATTGACATCTTACATGCATGTACCAATCAGTATCATAGTCTATCCACTAGTATTAGTTCTAAGTTGATGGTGTGTGTGCCTAGTATGTGTGGCTGCGTGCATAACCCCTGCAATTTACATCTACTTTTGTGATTATGAAAACTAAGTAGGGGTCGTTGATGATTGAATAAGATCCTGTCTCCATCTTTCCTGTCTGTTGAAATTTCCTCCAATTCCAGTTATATCTTCTCTTCTACAAGGGAAACACTATCAGACAACAGAAGCAAGCATAAGAAGAAATTGCAAAACCATGTAAAACAGGAAGCTCATAGATTTGATAAAAAGGGAAAAAATTGATCATCATGTGATTTCTTATAGGTAGACACAGACCTGTATTAATCTACATAAAAAGCACTTTCCGTGTCTATTACAAAACGTCAACTCTATGATAGCCTCCTCTTCGAGTTTAACTTTAATGTTCTAGAAAACCAAAACGACATTGCAATTTGTCCCCCATCATGATTACACTTTTCAACAAGTTTAATATTAGATATATGCTAGTGGCTATGCTTTCATTACTGAGAATCCACTT